TTAATAGGCAATCGTTCGATGGGCTGAATTGCACAAAACGCATGATCGCACCGGCAAGTCTGGTGCACGTTGCCATTTATTGTGTTTTAGTACGCTGTTGTTTCATCGTTACTTCCTGGGTTTGCTGCAAAAAAAGGATTTCTAAACGGATATTCGTGGATGTTTTTAATTTCAGCCGGACAAGCTTCACAAAAATTCTTCGTTAAGTAGCCAGGAAGCGAAGATATTTGGAGAGGCTGTGAAGGGCATTAAAGTTCGCATTACGCATCGAGCCAGCGTTGTACGTGTTTACCGCGTCAACAGTTTGCAACTTCCAGCTGATCAGCTTTGGTAAACTCTATTGTAGTGTTACCGTGAAACCAGGGCCGATTCCCTTTGTTAACATCTTGTGCACTGCTACCTGATTAGAAACGCACAAACAGAGAAGGAGAAAATAACGTGGAGTCCACCGAAGAGGTAGTGCGTATAAACTGTAGCAACCCCTTTCCGCTTCTGCTTGCAAGTCATTGAGTATTCAAGACTAAAAGTTCCTTATCGTTGCACTGATACTTCCTTGCATATGCTAGTCATGCATGTTCTTTCCGTTTGACTGAGCGCTACTTACATTGACTGGGTCAAATTTTTATGAAATGCAAGCACCAAACATCCATGAATGGATTCCTGCTAATAACAATTTCCTCTTGATATTCAACACCCAGGTTACTAGAGAATAATTTCAAAAGTATTTGTCGTGGGCGATGATAGGTTCTTGCCACGATAGCTCTTTTGGTTGTCCCCTCCAAAGAATTTATACTAAATAAACATAGTTCTAGGCCGGCAGAATGGCCTGTAGTAACAGTAGCCCAACTTCCTTAGTTAGGCGCAATACGTCGGCCCTTCTTTGACTGTTTGGCGAATGCAGCTCGTGGGCTCCTTCACTTCGTTTGATGAGCATGATGTGTCGGCTCCTTCTATTCCTTGAGCTCGGTTCGTCGGCTCGTATCGTCCTTATACCCTCAAACTTGGGTGATATAACCTTTATCAACAAATGGTAACAAATAACGAATGAACGTAACATGAACGTAAGCGCGAACACGTAACAAGTGATATACATTATACATTATTTATCATCAAATTATAGAACTAAAAATTGGGTGGGGGTGTTGTTGACGTCCTGTGTTGCCGGCTGTTACTGGTCGTCCTTGGTGCTGCCCGCTGCCTCTCGTCGTCGTCGTTTCCTCGCAGAATGAGAAGACTGGCCGAAGGGCTTCGGACGATCCCAGCCCATCGGTGCCACCCGGAAGTCCTACCCCCACCGGGCATGGGCATCATGGCGGAAGTCCTAGGTTTAAAAAATATTAGTTTTTAACATACCGCCGAGGAATGTGAGCAGCCACCCCCAGCTGACTCATATTCCTGGTGCCATATGCATACAAAGATGAAAGTGCACACACACTCTACACACACATACACAGAATATATACATTTTTGAATTTGAATTCAAGCAATTGCATACACTCTTGAATTTGGAAATAACTGCATAGATCATGTTTCTCGAGAAGATGCATTTTCTCGACGGTATGTTAAAAACTAATATTTTTTAAACAATCTTAACAATGGGTATATCAAAAACTGCGAATGCTAAGATTTCGCAGCAAAATTCTATTTCGAGCCAATCAGAATCCGTTTGCCTTTTGCAGCGGCTGTGAGTGGGACTTCTGCTTATGTGAGCTTAAATAGCGGGCGCCTCTGCCTTCTTTACTTTACCCGCCCCGCTCTTCGATTTGGTTTGTCGTGGACAAATTTGCAATGTTTCACAAACTTTAGGTTCGAAGGTAAAGATGAAGAGGGGAATGAACGTCGCATGACAGTAGCTGATTATTTTGGTGAGCGTTACGGCGAGCTGCAGTTTCCGAAGCTGCCGTGCGTACACGTCGGCCCTGTGAACCGGAACATTTTTTTCCCGTTGGAAGTGTGCGTTCTGGACACGCCGCAGAAATACAACAGAAAACTTAGCGAGAAGCAGACATCGGCCATTATTCGGGTGAGAATTCACAATTTCCATATTTCGAATCCAGGCACACTTCCTTGAGCCGCACTTTCAATTTGCATTCGTACTTTTGAATTTGCTGGAGCTCATACGCAGTTGCCCGTTTCACGTCACGACTGTATGCTTCTCGTGTACTGTTACTCAAAGCAGCAGCACTGAGTGGTGCTATTTTGTCATCTTGCAGGCAGCTGCAGTGGACGCAGTCACACGTGAACAGCGCATTACGGAACTTTTTGAACAAGCCGGCTTCCATCAGGATCCATTTCTGCGTGAATTTGGCCTACAGATCAGTCCTAAGATGTGCGAAACAGTTGCACGTGTTCTCACACCGCCACGTATCCTCTTCGGTGAAAACAACGGACACGCCGACCCTATTGTAATCCCGAAAGACGGCGCCTGGTCGATGGATAGCCAGCAGCTGTACGTTCCAGCAAACTGTCAAAGCTACTCGATGATTGCACTGGTGGACCCACGTGAGCAGAATCATCTTCAGTATGTTTTCGATTTGCTTTAGTTAGAACGTTAATTTACTGCGCTCTAGTAGGAGACGCAAAAAGAGTTTTTTCTTGGCTTAGCAGAGTAAGATATAGAGAAGTGAATGGTACTAGTAGCAGCTAGATCTGATTCTTCAGATCATTTTGTCAAGCCATTGCTCAGAAGGCCTGCCAAATGGGAATGAGGTTTCCGAGCTGGCCCGATCTGGTCAAGTACGGTCGCACGAAAGAGGACGTGATTATCCTGTTCAATGAAATCTCCACCGAGTATGAACAGATTGGCACCGCCTGCGACCTGATCATCGTAGTAATGCCATACAAGAATGCCGACATCTACAGTGCGTCTTTCATACTTTAATTAAAAATACAAAACTGCTGAACTCACCAACAAAATCACTTTCAGTTAGTAACCGGATCACTGCAGGTATAGTGTGACTGTGACTGAAATACCGCGCTGACGATGCTACCTGTGAAAACAATGAGAGTCGTACTACATTGCTGAAAATCGAATTCAGCACAACAGTGCTATCGGCTTCGCTAATTCGCGTTGTTCTACCTTAAATTCTTCTTGCTCCTCGCCACTTCCTTCTGTCAGTTCTCATAAAAAAGCAAGAACGCAGACTGACAAGATTTTGTCGCCATTCATTTATATTTGTGTGTCCGTTGCAAATTCTCGGTCTGCCGTCAAACAGAGTAGGAAGCTGAAATTCTGGTAGCACAGTCCACTGCCAAGTGCACTTTCAGAGTTACCAGGAAATTTACAGTTATCAGGAAGAGGCAGCAATTCGGAAAGCAAGCTCCTAAAATAATTTGATCGAAACTGCATCACTAGGCGACACTTCTGCCGGTCATCGA